GTTGGAACTCGTTGCTTCATCTCAATGCCTCTTTTCCTGAAACAGAACATTGGCGACGAGGGTGAGAAGCCTGCAAGGCAAACAGATTAAGAAGCCAAGCTGACTTACCATAGGAGGGCTTGCAGCTCGGAGAAGTGTGGCTCCTGAAGATTGACTTAGCCTGCCAGCACTGAGACACTGGAGGTGAGCTCAGAAAAGGGGGCCCCTTCTCAATCCTTGCAGCAGGAGGCATGGACGAAGTTCCTGGGTTGAAACAATGGCAAAGATAGGCCGGCTTTCAGAGTTTGACACAGCTCACCCAGAATGCTGGAGCTCGTATGTGGCCCGGGTGGAGAACTACCTCTGGGTGAATCAAATTCGTGAAGATGACCTCAAAGCTGCCACGCTGCTGTGTGTGTGTGTGGGCAAGAGACCTTTGAGATTGCGGAGAATCTGGTCGCCCCAGCAGCACTGGAATCAATCACCTACACAGAATTGAAGAGGATGCTTTGAGAGCATTTTGAACCCAAGTTCTCAGTGATTGCCTGGCGACACGCGTTCGAGCAGAGGGACCAGAGGCCTGGTGAGTCTGCAGCAGAGTTTGTTACGGCCTTGCGACAAGCAGCTAGGCCTTGCGAATTCAAAGACTTGGAGGAGAGACTGAGGGATCGGCTGGTTTGTGGCCTGCGAAGCAGGGAGTTGCAGCAGAAGCTCTTCACGAAGGAAGGTCTCATGTTCCAAGATGCCCTGAGGGAAGTTTCAGCTGAAGAAGCAGCAGGCGGAGCTGTGAAGGCCTTGCAGCTCGCCAAGCCCCCTCAAGTTCCAGCCACCGTCCATCAAGAGGTTGCTCACGAAGAATCCAAACAGGATCCAGAATTGGAAGTGCACTGGCTGCATCAGACTCCAGGGAGAAGGCCTCACGGAGGGAAGGCCCAGCCAGCATCATCCCCTCAGTGCATCGGGTGTGGAGGTTACCATCGCCGCGCATACTGCCATTTCCACTCCGCCATCTGCAGGGCCTGTGGTAGGCAAGGCCACATTGCCTCTGTTTGGGTTGCAAGAAGGAACATTACCCAGAAGAATTGCCTCAGAAAGGTACCAGGGTCCCCAGCCAGAACAGGGTGGGCTTCTGCGCGTCATGTAGGAGCATTTTTAGAACGGGGGTCCACAGGCCAGTTAGGAAGAAGCTTCACATCGACGTGAAGTTGCAAGGGGTCCCCCCTTGTTGATGGAGCTGGACACTGGGTCTGCTCTATCAATCGTCTCCCTAGACACCTTTAACAAGATCTGCAGCAAAAGCAGCCTACGGGTGAAACCCAGGCCGTCAAACCTCATCCTCACAGATTTCCAAAATTCCAGAGTCAACGTGAGGGGGGAGGCCACACTCAAGGTGCAGCGTAGGAATTTTGAGGGGCTACTGGATGTAGTTGTGGTTGGGGAGACCATACGAGTCTCATTGGACTCGTTTGAGGCCCTGGGAATTCAGGTGACTGGAATACACAATGTGCAAACAACAGGCCTGGCTGGTGTCTGCAAGGAGTTTGCAGATGTGTTTAGTCCAGAACTTGGTTCCTACAAAGGCCCTCCTATTTCTCTGAGGCTAGACCCAGCCATAGCCCCCATTAGAATCAAGCCACGCAGGGTGCCCTTTGCCTTAAAGGGTAAAATAGATGCAGAGCTCGATAAACTGATTCAGCAGCGTATCTTAGAGCCTATGAACAGTAGTCCATGGGAAACGCCCATAGTTATGCCACTGAAGGCCAATGGTGAAGTCCAAATCTGTGCGGACTACAAGTGCACTCTTAAACAAAGCGCTGCAGCAGCATGCGTATCCAGTACCAGTGGTCAGTCACATTCTAGCCTCCCTCAAGGGGGGCCAGATCTTTGCTAAGCTTGACCTGGCTCAGGTCTATCAACAATTGCCAGTTGATGAAACGGCCAAGGCCCAAACTATAGTGACTCACAGGGGGGCATTCAAGATAAAAAGATTGCAATTTGGAGTAAACGTGGCCCCCGGCATCTTCCAGAATGTAATGAAGCGAATGCTCCGAAATATCCCTGGCATTTGCTCGTACTTTGATGATGTCCTCATCGCTGGGGACTCAGCTGACAATTTAGCCGAAAGACTGAGAACTGTTTCCGCCAAGCGGGGCTGAAGCTTAAGCAAGACAAGTCCTCTGGGTCTTTGGGGCAACAAAGTCCTGGTCTGCCTAGCCTGGCAGGCGAGCTGGCAGGCCAGGCACACGCACCGGCCATGAGAAGATCAGGGCAGGCCAGAGGTCCTCCCAAACACTTACAAGACTATGTACGGTCCTTGTCAGTTCATAGGCAGGCCTAGTAGTCTGGGTTAAGTATTGCAGCTCAAGGGGAGTGAGAGCATGGCGGTAACAAGACTGTAGGGTTGTGTATATATAGATGCAATGTAAGCAATGCAATGGAGTGTTGGAGTATTTAAAATAATAAGTGTGCCTTATTATTTTAGTCAAGGGGGGAGGGGTGTTATGTCCTGTGCCGTAGGCCCAGGCTGCAGCAATTGGCCCGGGCAGACCATGTGGATGCCCCGGACAAGAAAGGCTGCTCCCAGCCTTGCCTGCATACGCATGGTGGGAAAAGATCCTTTGCAATGATTGGCCAGCAAGGTATTGTGCAGGGGGGCTATAAAAGGGGGCCATACCATTTTAAAACCTGTTCTGTTGGTGTTTGCAATAAAGGAGAACTGTTGGAACTCGTTGCTTTGTCTCAATGCCTCTTTTCGTGAGACAGAACAGAGACAAAACAAAAGCAGCCGAGAGTTTGCAGGCAAAAAGAAGAAAGGTATTTCTAAACCTCCCCAGCTCACATCTTTTATAGGCATCTTCCAAAAAAATTTTCAGCGAACAGATAGTTTAGTAATAGTAATAGTAGTAAAGTTGGAAGGGACCTTGGAGGTCATCTAGTCCAACTCCCTGCTCGGGCAGGAAACCCTACACCATTTCGGACAAATGGCTGTCCAGTCTCTTCTTAAAAACTTCCAGTGTTGGAGCATTTAATGCTTCTGGAGGCAGGCTGTTCCACTGATTAATTGTTCTCACTGTCAGGAAGTTTCTCCTTAGTTCTAGGTTGCTTCTCTCCTTGATTAGTTTCCACCCGTTGCTTCTTGTCCTGCCTTCAGGTGCTTTGGAAAATAGCTTAATTCCCTCTTCTTTATGGCAGCCCCTGAGATATTGGAATACTGCTATCATGTCCCCCCTTGTCCTTCTCTTCGTTAAACTAGACATACCCAATTCTCGCAAACGTTCCTTATATGTTTTAGCCTCCAGTCCCCTAATCATCTTTGTTGCTCTTCTCTGTACTCTTTATAGAGTCTCAACATCTTTTTTACATCGTGGTGACCAAAACTGGATGCAGTATTCCAAGTGTGGCCTTACCAAGGCATTGAAGAGTGGTATTAATACTTCGCGTGATCTTGATTCTATCCCTCTGTTAATGCAGCCTAGTACTGTGTTGGCCTTTTTGGCAGCTGCCGCACACTGCTGGCTCATATTTAACTGATTGTCTACTAGGACTCCGAGGTCCTCTCACAGTTACTACTATTGAGCATGGTGCCACCTATGCTGTACTTGTGCATTTGGTTTTTCTTGCCTAAATGTAGAACCTTGCTTTTTTCACCATTGAATTTCATTTGGTTAGTTAGTGCCCAGTGTTCAAGTCTGTCCAGATCCTTCTGTATCTGAAGCCTGTCTTCTGGAGTGTTGGCTATTCCTGCCAGCTTGGTGTCGTCTGCAAATTTGATGAGTTCCCCATCTATCCCTTCATCAAAATCGTTGATGAAGATGTTGAAGAGTACTGGGCCCAGAACAGAGCCCTGGGGCACCCCACTACACACTTCCCTCCATATAGATGCAGTTCCATTGAGGACCACTCGCTGAGTACGGCCGGTCAGCCAGCTACGGATCCATCTGGTGGTGGTTCTGTCTACCCCACATTTTTCTATCTTGTCAAGTAGTAGGTTGTGATTCTCAACCTTTCTAATGCCGTGATCCCATAATACAGTTCCCCATGTTGCGGTGACCCCCAAGTGGGTGTGGCCACCAATAAGAGGGAGTAGGACAGCTAGGGAAAAGGGAAAAAAATGGCGGACAGCATGGTTTGGTGACCCCCGTGAAATAGTCATTCGACCCCAAATGGGGTCCCGACCCACAAGTTGAGAACCACTGGTTTAGGTGACAGGGTGATATGAGCTGAGGAATCTGAGAAAGCTTCCCAAATCTCTTCAGTGAACTCCCTACTTTGGGAGACAGGGTGATGAACTGAGAGATCAGAAAGCTCAGACATTACCAGAGCTTTCCAGCTAAGTCATTTGTAATGAACACTGATGTGGGAAATGCAGTTTAGAAGAACACAGAATTCTTCCTAGGAAGTAGATTTGGTGTGCATTTGAGAAGTAGTAGGTTGGATTATTTCCCCTTACATTTCCTTTACACTGCTGGCTCCTTGGATACCATAAGTTGCTTCAATTCCATTGTGGCCTTAGTTGTGAAGCAAGAGCAGCCATAGACCTCTAGTAATATGAATTTAGTAATGGCAGAATGGTTGTCCAATGTGACACAAAAAGCATTATCTATAAAGAGATTTTTGTACATAAAATCAGCTTGAAGTTCTACATATCTCATGCCTAATTCTAGGCATTCCCCATTCAATGTGGCTACCAATAAACCCCAGTAGATCATGTCTTATGTGTGTATAGCATTCCTCATTTTGAAAACATATATCCTCTCTTTCGACAAAATGTTTACCGAGTGGAGTTTAAAAGTAAAAAGATCTCTCTCTCTCTCTCTCTCTCTCTCTCTCTCTCTCTCTCTCTCTCTCTCTCTCTCTCTCTCTCACACACACACACACACACACACACACACACACACACACACTTGATCCAGTCAAAGTTTATTTTCATCCCCTTGGTTCTGCAGGCAACTGGCAGAGGTAGGGATGCAGAAAGCAAATATCTTATTGTGTCTCTTCTTTTTTGGCTGATGGATGGATCACTTTATTTTTTTCTTTGCCATATTTTTCTGGGAAGGCAGTGGGTAAATCTTCCTTGTGGCCTTTAATTCCCCTGACCAGGGAATAAAACTACTATTAATTTTATTTCTGTTCACTAATCCCAGGACAACTGGCATTCAGAGCAGCTCTATAAGCACTTCCAGATGCTCGGCTCACAATATAACCAAAGGATGTTGTGCAACTGGACCATTTCTTCCACTTTGCATTTTTGCGTGTAATAAAACTGGAAGACACAAAAAACATTGAAATATTGCATTTGTATCCTTCTAAAATATTCTGTACACGAGGCTTGGCAACTGCACACTAAAAGTATCCTGAGTTATCTAGGGGGTCCAGATAGATTTTTCTGCCTTAGGCACCAGAATACCTTAAGCCAACCTGCTAATTTAAAGGCAAGTCTGTCATTATTACTCCTGGAGATTACAATGGCAGAACAGAACTGATGTTTTCCCACCTTCCTGGTCCCTTCAGCACTGACAGGTGGCTGTTTCCAAGAAAACCTTGACCTTATTTTCACAACTGATTCTTTTAACAAAGCTGCAACAACCCTTAAATGTGAATGTATAATAAGCAGAAGCTTATTTAACAAGGCCTTTGATAACTAGCACCAAAAAGGAAAGCTTGGAAACAGATGGTTATAGAGAAAAGGAGGACAAAACGGGGAAGCCTCACAATAAAATATATTTCAGAACCTCTGCTTATTAACAAGAGTCTTTTCTGACTAATAAGGTATGTCTCACACAAATGGCTAACATATACAGAGTTTATCTAGCTGAATGAACTGGAACTTAATTTTTATGATGCTCAAGCTGGCAATGTTCCCTCCATAATAAATCACATTCCATCAACATATGATTTTTTTTCCCAGCCAAATCCCAACCATCTATATTTACATTATATCACAATGGGATTTACACTCAGTTTCATATGCACGAGAAACCAACTGTTAACATTTCATGAAACAATTATTTTGGAGAATTTTCCTGCTTTATTAGCAAGGAGTCCAGCCACATTTAAATGGTAAATTAAAAGCAAGAATGCAAGCTGAGAAAGCTAAGAGAAGGCTGGCAAGGTAAATATGAGGGACAGGTTCATCTTTCATATATTTCTTGAAGATTAGGGCAGGTGATAGGTGATGCCTCACTGAAATAATATGCTGAGTAGACAGCCATCAGATTGATGACCAGATGGCTGCTCTACACAGGAAGATATAATCTTTTTCCACTGAATTTACTTTACTTCACAGGTGACCTTTTTGAAGTTATAATACAAATTGATACAAGTTAGACCAGTGATGGCGAACCTTTTAGAGACCGAGTGCCCAAACTGCAACCCAAAACCCACTTACGCATTGTCGGGTACTGGGTGGGTGTGGCCCATTGGCTGGGCGTGGCTGCAGTGGTAATGGCAGACTGGGTGGGACTAAAAAGTTCAATCAATCAATTCCAACTTTGCAAGATTTTTTTTCCCGCAAGAAGTTGAAATTGACTGATTGATTGAAACTTTTTTTTTTGCACACGGCGGTGGAGGCCTAAAGCGAAAAGGTTTTATAAAACCCAGCTGAAGGCCTAGGACTGGGGCAACGGCGCGCGTGCCCACAGAGAGAGTTCTGAGTGCCGCCTCTGGCACCCGTGCCATAGGTTCGCCACCACTGAGTTAAACAAATGCCTGTTAGCAGAAGCTCCATTGAAAGCAATACCATTTCTGAGCAAACACGCATAGGATTACAATGAAGATTCATAAAATACGGATAAATAATAACTTCATATTATACTGCATTCAATAAACTTTTCCTATATGTCCATCTTTTTGATATGGGCACATTTTGAGTATTGGCAAGCTTAACCTAAACTCTTAAACGAATGCTTTAAGCAAATAGGAGAGCCCACCTTGAATGAGAGAAAGAACATTACTACTTACTTAGCAGTGGAACACTTGGTTTACTGAGAGACTTTAACATCATTTCATTCCGTAAAGACTGACAGCTAGCAAGAGTTGGAATATTTCTTATCTTGAAATCCTTGGAGGGTTCCTGCCAGTCAGAACAAATTAAAGTTTTGAGTATTTATATTGGTTACCCAGCATAAAGAATGATTTTTGAAGCTGACAGAACCTTTCCTTGGTTGAACGTCTAGTGTAATGAAGAGCTCAGTGTAGTTTAGACTTATAAACCTTTCTTGTATTATTCCAACTTGTACTGTTTTCAGATTTCATGCAGAATGGAAGTTGTCACGTTCGCAAGGTTTGCACAGTAAAGGACATTTTTATTTTTATTCTGCTTTCATTATTTTTATAAATAATTCAAGGCAGCAAACATATCTAATATTCCTTCTTCCTCATATTTTCTGCCTAACAACAATAACCCTGTGAGGGTTATTCAGAGTTCAGCTGAGAAAGAGTGCCTGGCCCAAAGTCACTTAGCTGGCTTTCATGCCTAAGGCAGGACTAGAACTCAGATTCTCCTGGTTTCTAGGCCAGCTCCTTAACCACTATATCAAGCTGGCTTTTTTTATACTGGTAGAGTACTAGCCATTGGTTGAAAACATATCATTCACTCGCATTGTTTTGGTCTTGGCCATTTTTCTGGCTGGAAAAAAAAAATACAAAAGTTTATTTCTGCACAATTTGCTATCCATGGTCCAGTGATGCTGCAATAAATGTATTTAATGGCCATGAAGAGACAGTGTCATGTTCAACTCAGTCCTGACCCATGCAGATAATATGGAAAGAGGCAATTTGAGCCTGCTGTGGGGCACCCCAAGGAGACAATTACGGCACAGTGTTTGTGTTCCCGTTTTATGATTATTTTATTTATTGGTTTTATGGTGAGCCACTCAGAGTTGCTTAAGGTGGGCAGCCATATAAATATTTTAAATAAGAGGTAGGGGGTCTACCATGCTCCTATTGGCCACCCAACATTGTAGTGGGCACATCCCTGCCCGTATCTGGCCATTGGTTTTTAGGGCCATTTTCTATTTTGGTAGCAGGAAAGGCCAAAGTCCCTCAAGAGCCAGAAAGGCATCTCACATTTCTCTTGCCAACCTAAATTCTTCAATTCCTCTCACAGAGTGGCATCTGAAGGGCTGAGCTTCCCACTTCCCACATGGAAAGAGAAGACGGGTAGAAGCAGCTTTTCAGCTAGAAGCATCTCATTAAAGGAATGAGTAGGATTAACTAGGGTGACGCCAGGTACAGAGGAGGTTTCCCTACCCCCAAGGAAGAAAAAGGGGATTTTCTACGGAAAAATCAGGTCTTTGGGGTCCCAAGGGAACCTCTGCCCCTCCTGATCTTCTTTTCCTGGCGCCTATGTAGTGCTAGAAAGAAAATTCCTTTGCTGCCAGTTCTCTAACCCAGCAGACTTTGACACAATTACATCACTCTGTGATGTAAGAATTAACAGCAGAAGTCCTGCACCCCCCCTTCCCCCCCCGCATGTGGCCCTCTTCCCCCCCCCCCCGCATGTGGCATTTCTTGCCATAGATGGTAGAACTGAGTTTGCCATGAATGAAGGGAGTAGGGGGAGAGGAGGCAGTGAATGGGTCCTTCGGTGCCCATCCTGTAATCATGCTATGGGATCAGGCAACAATAAAGACTAGTAGGTCTCCTTCTGCACCAAATTAAGTTTTCCCGACCTCGCCCCTCTCCTTTTCCCTGTTCTTGTGCAGACAGCCTGCGGCTTTGATTTATTGCCAAAGCAAAAGGGGGCTGGAAATGTCATCATGCCTTCTTTAAGCTGGCATACCTTTCTGCCAGCTCCCACTCGGAGTAACAGTAGTTTATGCTGCAGTGTGAAAGAACCCCAAGTTAATATGATAGGGATAAAAAAAGAGATTTGGTTTAATCAATCATTTCTTGCCCTTTATTAAGTGAAAATTTTCACTCTGCTAGGTCAGACAATATTCCAGAGATCCCAGTGAAGAGAGGACGATGAATCTTAATTCCATGGAATTTCAAAGAATTTTCATGGAACTTTGCCTATCAAGTCAACTCCTGGTAACTATATGGAGCTAGAAATCTGGCAAGAAGAAGGAACAAGAAAGCAAGCCTCACAGAAAATCTGCATTTTGGCAGCACCTGCCTGCTTGGATCTCCTGATGCTTTGGGGAGAACAGCAGTGCTGGTGGCCAGCTTCTGTGCAGACATCATGCATTGTTTATTAATCCATGTCTTCCTGTGCTTTATTTGGCAGCCTGTGGTGGCTTGGCTAATGCAACAGCATTTAATAATGATCTCCCACTTACTTAAACACTATAAGTGAGCAACAGACAGTATCACGGAAACCAACCATTCATTGTACATGAGCTCAGCTACATCTACTTAAATATTTGATGACAGTTCAGAAAAAACATTGATATTCTTCAGGCTCTTTCTGATTATGATTCTACAAGGCCATGAAAGTACCTCAATGATATATAAGACATCTGCACCCCAGGTCACCCGGCAATAATTGATAGAGTGGCCCAAGTAACAGAGTGCAAAGTCAAGATCACAAGTGGTGGAGGTGAACAAAGTATCTATGCTTGCCTCCCATGGTGCTCTCTTGGCCAGAATTAAGTTCAGTCTTTCCAATTTTCTTATATTGGTGCAATAAAATGCTGGGTCAGAGATCAAACATGTGTCTCTTTCTTTACAAGGGGGACTTGTTCATAAGGGCAAACACAGCATGGGAGATTCAAAAGGGACAAATATGTGCCACCCAGGCACCATGTTATAGAATGAACATAGATAGATGACTGATACATAGATGTCTTGAGTTACGTATATCCCTTCCAAAAGTTGGCAGATTGTCACTTCCCTCCCCTTATTCAAGGACAGAAACTGGACAGGCTCATGCTCCTTACTCAAATACGGACAGTGGAAGGGTGTTCATCCCCTTGAGGACACAGACTACTTTCAGGGCGGAGGATAACCTGTATGCTATTATTCTGTCCAATGCAAGAAACAGTCTAAGACTTCTATGAGAAGCAGCTGGGAGGATTCATCATTGCCTCTTCTCCCTAACATTTGCTATTGGTGGCAGTTGTGCCACAGCAGAACAAGTCTTGTCCCCAACTCTGCCACAGCTTTACACCATTCAGACATTGTTTTACTTACAAACAGGATGAGAGGCTGTTCATATGTCTACTTTGCTCCCAAATCCAAACAAGTATATGTATATAGTGCACGGTGAACTAACCTTTTCCTAACGTCTGGCACATTTTAGGTTGGAGTTGCAGACAGGGTTCTTCATATCGGCAAAAGTTTGTAACTTGAAAGTAATAATAATAATGATGATGATGATGATGATGATGATGATGATGATGTTGGGAGGGACCTTGGAGGTCATCAAGTCCAACCCCCTGCTCAGGCAGGAAACCCTACACCATTTCAGACAAATGGCTATCCAGTCTCTTCTTAAAAACTTCCAGTGTTGGAGCATTCACCACTTCTGGAGGTAGGTTGTTGCACTGGTTAATTGTTCTAACTGTCAGGAAGTTTCTTCTTAGTTCTAGGTTGCTTCTCGCCTTGATTAGTTTCCACCCGTTGCGTCTTGTCCTGCCTTCAGGCGCTTTGGAGAATAGCTTGACTCCCTCTTCTTTGTGGCAGCCCCTGAGATATTGGAACATTGCTATCATGTTGTAAGCAATGTCTGTGTAGTCCGCATGGTTCTGCATATTATGGAAATGAAAGTTGCCTCTAGGGGATGGAACTTCCTCCTTTGCAAATTAAGAATTCTATAGGCAAAGAAAATGCCAAAAAGAAGAAACAACACCGATAAGCTAATGAAGTCAGGTTGAGCCTTTAAATGTTGTTCTGCTTAAATGTGTAAGTAGTCATATAAGCCACACCAAACAACAGCATATGTCAATATTCTGCTGACAGGTCAGGGAATATTTTGCTGCACTGGTTCAATGGAACCAAGGAGAGGTGTCAGAATTTCACCAATATCAGAGTTTTGCCACCTGAAACATTACAAAACTGTAGAAACAATGTAGTTAACAGTGAAGATAACTGAACTAGAGAAACCCATGTTCAAGTCCAGCCTACCTCACAGAGCTTTCTCATAGGTAGAAAATAGGCACATCCAAATGTAAGCTACTCTTGGGCCTCTAGAGCAGTGATGGTGAACCTTTTAGAGACCGAGTGCCCAAACTGCAACCCAAAACCCACTTATTTATTGCCAGGTGCCGGGTGGGCATGGCCCACTGGGTGGGTGTGGCTGTGGTGGTCATGGCAGACTGAGTGGGTGTGGCCAAGGTGGGTGTGGTCACCTTGATGTTGCTCGGGAGGGACTCCTGTGGGGGCCGGGCAGGGTTGGGGGAGATCTAGGGGGTCTCTGGCAGGTGGGGCAGTGGGCTGGAGGCTCGTCCAGTGGGGTGAGATGAGGCAAGGCGAGGCAGGGCAGGACTGCCATTGTCGCAAGGCGAGGCAGGGGCCGGGGCAACTGCTGCCTGAAACCATCGGCCCCCGCACACAGAGGCTAGCGAGCACATGGGGGCCAACAGTGTCCGTCAGCAGCCACAGCCTGCTGGCCCCTCAACCAGCACACTCTGGGGCTCCGCCAGCAGTTCAGAGAAGCTGCCTCTCAGCTGGACAGCCGGCCGACAGCTGAGGAGGCGATGCAGTGGGTCATGCCCGGGAAAAGAAGAGCATGTGAGGCCAGGAGGGACGGGATGGGGGGGGGAGGAAACCAGCCGTGCTGGGATGCATCTAGCCATGTGGGACCTCGGCGAGTTAGTGGGTGACTGGTTGAAGAGGGACAGTTGCCATCTCCGGGGCATGGTGCACGTGCCCACTGAGAAGGCTCTGAGTGCGGCCTCTGGCACATGTGCCATAGGTTCGCTAAGTATCCAGGAAATAAATCATTTCAGAAATTATTCAAAGATCTAGCTTTTTACATTTTTTTTTTTATTCTACCCTTCTTGCAAGAAGTTCAGAGGGGTGAACGTTTCTGTATCTTTCTCTCACTAGCCTTGTGAAGTACTCTAGGCTAAGAAAGAGAAAGAAACTAATCTTTTCCACATTGACCCTGTATAACTTCAGCAAGGTTGGTGATATATTCTTCATTTGCTTTGGATAGCTAGATGGGCGGCATATAAATTTAATACATAAATAAAACTTTAACCTAGAAACAAGGTTAGCATTTTAGAGCATGGCTTCTGAATACTTTCCTAACTCTTTTACTTCTTTATAGGAAGTATCTGTATTTTTTCCACTGTAACAAACCAACATGCTTTTCTGCATCTGCTTCTGCTTCCCCCTTGAGTCCCATCTGTACGGGTTTGTATCAATCTTCCTTAGGAAGTAGGGACAAGCCACATACTTTCTGCTCTGGGTTATGTGCTGAGGACCCAGAAGAGAGAGGGACTGGAATGGAAGAGTGAATGTCATTCTGAGATGCTGCCAATTGCTTCTTCCATCAGAATGCATTGCGAGAACGTTTTTCTTTGCAACTGCCAGCCAGATGCAGCCTGTTTTCTTTCTTTTGTCATCTTCTCCCATCACACCAAGTTTGGTCCTGCAACTAACCAGTCTGCAGATAGAATGGCAGATGGGCAGAGTTTGCAGCCCTTGGCCTAATTTCTTTCAACTTTCTGTTAGACTAGAAATATTAATAATGGTGTCTCTTTTTGCCTTTTGATGAAGGAGCACCTGCTAGGGCTGGGTTTGCACTAGATGAAAACTAAGCAATACAAGTTGTGGTAGAAACTTGTCATTGTTGAAACATGTGGGAACCAGGCCATCATTGTAAACCATGATATTATTAATTGATTTGAAATTGTTTCATTAATCCAGGTTTAGGGTTCATTGTGCTGTGTGAACCCATGAGAAGTGGTGTGATCCCCTGGATAGTGCATTGGATTTTTGTCTGAGAATGGCTCAGTTTGAATTCATGGTCAACTGTAGATTCATTGGGTGAATCCCGATGAATTTTGTGAGTTGTATGTGTTGGGATACTTGAAACCTCCTTCCTTTTCTCTAGTACTGAATCTGTGTATATAAAATCTACAGACTTCTCTCCTGTCAGATATTTTGATGTGCAACTAAGTGTAAGATATTCATAAAGACCCTGTGGCTCCATCAAAATTCTGGTTGAAAAAAACCTAAATTCTGCAAACTGTTCACATTCTGCAGATCTAGATCAGTTAAGATTTGCTTAGTTGGGTAGGATTTCTTTCCAATTAAAGGATACGGAAAAAACTGTCACTGAATAGTCCAACTTGTTCATGACTGAGTAATCTTTTTCAGAGAACTGCTAAAAGAGTGGAAGCCATGGAACTTCTGTTCAACATATTTCTATATCCATTAAAAATCTATTTGCTCTTCTCAAAAAGACTTTGGCATCTTTGATCTTTAGTTTTATCAAACAAGGGCTAGTGGAATATATTATCCAGGTACAAATACCACTTGAGTCAAATATAGTATGAGGACAAGGAAAAGGTGCCAGTTAACAGCTAAAAGAGTAGCTCATCAAACCAAGTCATCTCAGTCTATGCTCATTTCTCATGCAAGTCATTTAACAAGCAGTAATCCCCATCACAATCTTCCCCGCCCAACACAATCCAATTTAATTTAGAGGAAAAATCACACAAAGGCTGTAACATCCAGCTTATCCCTTGAAATGCAATCGTTCTGTAGAAAAGAATTAATGTTTAATTCCATCTTAATTACTCAGAGTAATAATCCATTTACACAGAGCAATGCGGTCAGCACATGCATTGCATTGCTCTAAAGGGTCAGAGTCATGTGACTAATAACCTTGTCAGCTGACAGGCTGCATTAATCAATCAGAGGGCATTGTTGTCATGAGCCCTGAGAGAGATTGGAGCCATTGATTAGATCCTTAGGATTGCATGGTTATGACTTTCAATTAGTAACTTTCTGGCATTAAGCACCTCAACTAAACTGTTTTTGCCATGGCCCATATGGTAGCAACTAACCATTATTTAAAAATCTGTTGTCACGATACTATCCCATCCCTAGCCCATTACTGAAAACACATGACTTTGTATGTAATTTATCTGATATTAAAGTGGTGTTTTCTGTATTCTCCCAACATTGCCTTGCTTTATATCAGGGGTGTCAAACTGCCGGCCCGTGGGCCGGTTTCATCATACTGGAGCCGTGCCCACCACATTACCAGCAATAGCGAAAAAGCTCCGATACGTCACGCGATGTCACATGACGTCGCGAGTTTGACATGCCTGCTTTATATGGACTTGGTGATCAGATGGTTAGAAACTCCCCAGCTCCTATTGGTCACTTCCAACTGCAATGGACAAGCCAACTTTCTTCCCCTTCCTCCGGTTATTGGGCATTGGCCTCCATGAGCATTGTAGTTTGTTCTGCTGGACCAATATTTCACCTGGATTCCACACGGAGAGAGCAAATTATGCTGACATACTTTTGTATCACATTATGGGCTTGAGGAAAGCACATTATAGTATTGCTGCTGCCTGGATGAGCACTCAAACACAGAAAATGCATTAGTATCATCTCACCAAGTGGTGAGAATTCTAGGGCCAGTAGGTCAATATTTTGTTTCCTTTGGCTGACAGAGCAATTCTTTTTACTATCTTTGACATCTCTGTTCTATTTACAAGCAACATACATTGTGGGAGCAAATAAGAGCCTACAACAGTCAACCCAGCAGGTGAACTTGCTATAGAACCAAAACTAGACTACAGATGATCTCTGCAGTTGCATCAGAGATCTCTCCCAGGCTGGCTATGCTGATGTATTTTACAATAAAGTTCTGCAAGACTTTGCAAGCTTGCTCATTATTTGGAGGCATTTGTCCTATTATTGATTCAGGGTGATGAAAAGCAAAAGTAATTGTGAGGAGCTCCAGAAAGATCTGTTTAAACATGGTGACTGTTCAACCCTATGGCAAATACAATTCAATTTGAGGTTGTATAAAATGCTGCACATTGAGGCAGGAAGCCCAAATTCACCTATATACCTTGATGGGGTCTCAGCTGCTTGTAACTAACCAGATAAAAAGATCTTGGAGTCATAGTGGAGAGCTCAATGAAGATGTGAACTCTGTGTGACAGCTGTGAAAAAGGGAAATTCCATGCTAAGGATCATTAAGAGAGGCATTGAAAACAAAACTGCCAACATTGTACTGCTCCTTTATAAATTGTAGCAGGCATGCATCCACAGTATGTGCACGGTTCTGATCCCCCTATTAGAGGAAGGATTTAATAGAGCTAATAAAAGCATAGAAGATGGAAACAAAATTATCACAGGGTTTTCCCTAGAAGAAAAGGCTAGAATGTTTGGAATTCTTGAACGCAGAAAAAAAGAGGACCAAGGAAGGGAAATATATGAGGTGTATACAATCACACACA